CAGGTTAGCTACCCGATTTTAAACTACTTAGGTCCAATAGAATATAAAACAGTTTAAAAATCTATTTATCAGCAGCAAAAGTTTACATGATTCATTCTCTTTAAGTAATGGTAAATTGGCCGGTTGGTATGTCATATTTAAATATCTTCATGGACAGGAGAATTATCTCACTGGAATGAATGATTTCATGCTGAGAATAGTATTCACTCTTCTTAGATTTAACCAAATGCCCTCTGCTAGGCATGAAGAGAAACATCAGAAGATTCCTTATTGTTTATGACTGTGTGTCTGCAGTAATGGAGATATCCAGAGTGCTGTGTATTATTTGTTTAGGTGCTCTGTAAACATGTGGAGTGAACAAGTTTCTCCCTCAGCTGTTGGAAGACCATAGTAACTGTCTGGATTTTCAGAAAACTTAGCCACTAAATATAATTGGATTAACACAAAAACAGTCACTTTCTCCTTATTGGCCAAAATAAGCTCAGCCTTTCTTTATACTCAATGCTCCTTTCTATTATATGAGCCATTTTTATTATATTTATTGTTGATTTGAGTAATGAGATTAGAAACATAGGAAGATGCCTTGTAGCACTTCAGGCTATTCTTCCATCTAGTCCAGCAGCATCCACTAGGGCTGTGCCAAACCTTTGAGTGATATTTGTTCTGACCATTCTGGGAGCAGTGGCAATGAAGCAAAGATGCTTCAGAAAAGGGCAGGTCCCTTGGGGTTGTATCAGTGGCGTAACGTGGGTTGCCAGCGCCCATGACGGGCAAGTGTTATGCCCCCCTAGTGGACTGGATAGTTTGGGTGAGGGCATGCGCCGGGGGGCACACACAGAGCCCACACAGAAGGTGGACTGAGCCTGCCTCCAACAGTCTCCTTGACTGATGCCTCCATCTGCCTGCCCACTAGACCAACTCAACTGCCACCGCACCTCAGCTGCCAGGGTTCTGCGCCTGTCATGGGGGTGCCTGAATGTGCCCCCTCAAAAATGTGCACCTGAAGCAATGCCCCCCCTGCCCCACACACCACGTTTCTGGGTTGTATCCAACTAAGTTCTAGTCAGATTAATCATGTTGGAAGGTATTCAACAATTTTTTTGTTCTAGCACAAAAAGTAGCATTCGCACAAGGGGATTTCTCCTCTTTCCTCCCCAAATCTGCTCTGAAGGGTTGGGGAGGGGGAAACCAGAACAGATCTGTGTAGGGCAGGGGGAGGAGAGAGGGAGAATGTTCTGTTGGCAAGGTGAAATCCTATGCTGCTGGGAGGGCAAATGGGATTTCCAAAACTTGTTTTAAGTAGGGGAGGTGGTAGACATCCCCCAACTCCCTTTCTATTTGTGATGTAAGAGAAGGAACACACTCACCTCAGCCCCTAAAAATAAATCCAGAAAGAGAAGCAAAAAAGTACAAAAAGTACACCTCTTTTCCAGGGAATATTTGCTGGAGATAAGAGAGCAGAATTAAGAACATTACTATTGTCTAAATTGACTGGCCTTTTAACTAGGATGCCAGTGTTTGAACCTGGGACCTTCTGCATGCAAAGCATAAGGTCCGCCACTGAGATCCAGAAATTTATTTCCTAGCCATTTTATTATCTTACTAGCTGAATGTGTCTCCATACCTTTCCAGTGCTAATAGCAAGGATGGGTAGCAATTTGGAGTGAGAAAACAGCATATGGGATAGATGGAAAATCCCACCCTCACCAGTGCATTGTTTTCAACCTGGATTTTGAGGTTGTGGATGCTTTTTCTAAAGAGAAAGACGTGGCCAGGTCTAGCTGAAAATGTTGTTAATATAATGTGTAGTTTGGCTGCATGTGAACTAGAAAGCCAGCTGTCTGCTGGGTGCATGCAAAACAAGTTATTTAATGTTAAGCAGTTGCTGCCACTGAGACCCTTGTCAATTGCTGTGGGATTTTGAACATGCACTTGAAGTATTAAGCAGGCCAGGCACCCCAAGCCAGCTGTGTTGTAAGACCCCGTAAGCTGCTATTTAATGTTAAACTCCTTATTTTCATTGAAATTCTTCTTGATTGCTGTGAGACTATGTGAATGACAAGCCCCATAAACTCACTGAAACTCTTGTCATTGGCTTTGACACAGGTTCTAATCTTCAATATTTACCCAGGGCTGCCCCTATTTATTGTTCTTGTTTTACTACTTGTCCCTGGTAAACCACTTTCCCCATTTTGTCCCTATTCTTGCCTTTTGGAGAAGTCTTGTTAAAATTTGCCTCTGTTACCACCAATTTCACATGAGGATTGGGACTGTGCAATAATGTCCCTATTTGCATCCATGAAATGTCAAAGAATAGGACTTGGTCCCAGCTCTATGGTCTTTTCCGATGGTGGCTATATGTGCTGCTTTACAGAAGACAGTCCTCTCTTTTGGTGATGTATTTCCTGTTTATGAAGTAATGCAGCAGAGTCCACAATCACAGATTGGCTGCAGACAAATAATATAAATAGCTATCCATAATGTCACTTATCTGAATGAGCCAAATGAGGCAATCTTGAATGCACCTGCTAGAGAGTAAATTCCAATGAACTTTGAGGGACTTACTTTTAAGTTAACATGCTTAGGATTATACTGTAAGGCTGCAGTGATAAAGATGTTTTCCCTACAGCAGAGATGGAGAAGTAGTGTCCTTCCAGATGATGAACTCCAACTTTTCCATCAGACCCTGTCAGAAATGGTCAGGGATGGGGGTTGGTGTTAAGAGTCCAGCAACACAATGAGGTTCCCAATCCCTGTAATTCTTTGTAAACCCCATTGAACACAGCAGTGCTTATTATACACCAATGTGTCTGCCGCTTTGCCAGATGATTTCTGAAATGAAGGATCCTTTTTCTGTTGTCCAGTGTCATGACTGACAATCTGGGGACTGAGTACAGTGGTACCTCGGGTTACATACGCTTCAGGTTACAGACTCCACTAACCCAGAAATAGTGCTTCAGGTTAAGAACTTTGCTTCAGGATGAGAACAGAAATCATGCTCTGGCGGCACAGCAGCAGCAGGAGGCCCCATTAACTAAAGTGGTGCTTCAGGTTAAGAACAGTTTCAGGTTAAGTACGGACCTCCGGAATGAATTAAGTACTTAACCCGAGGTACCACTGTACCATGTGATAGAGGAGCCAGAAGAAGATGAGACTCTGGGTCCATCCTTGGGAGAAAAACCATCAGGACCTTCAGAACTCTCCCAGATGGAGGACATAACCCTGTTACCATCCTTGAATTCAGAGGAGGAGTGTCCCGCAGTACATTTGGTACTTTAACAGCTAGCAAGCTCCTCTAGAAAGGCAGGGCTTACTACTCTACAAGTACAGTCAACATATAAAAGGTGTAAGTTGGAGTTGGGTGCTTATAGAGACAAGAGCTTGTATATCTGCCTTGGCAGAAACTTGGGAGCTCTCCAAGGTCCTGCGGGTGCTCTGGGTGCCATAGATTTTTGCCTTAGATTCGCGGCTTAGACTAGTAACTTGGTGGGACACTGTCAGGCTTCCACTGTGAACCTTGGGCTCTCAAAGAACAGGATATCCTTTATTTGAAGCCTGTTACCAAGCATCTGTGCCTCTGTTTCTTCTCCACAGTTCCAGAGGAGTTGAGCACCAGTCTGAATGCAGCATGCCAAAGTGTTCAATTTCACTGCGCCGAGCATCCAGTGTAATCCATCGAAAGGGCACTGTCCTTCAGGCCTTTCAGCTGGGCTGACAGCTGCCCACTGATTAATTGACAGGTTAAAAAGATTGATTCCACATGTCAGAGCTGTAACCCTGCCAGAACAATGCGGCTGTCAATTGGGCTGTAAAACAGACGCTTGCATTAACCGCTCTGACAGCGGCAGTGCAGAAACACATGCACCTGCCTTTATGGAGCCTAAACACACAGCCACGCACCAATTAATCATCCTGAGAGCCTCTGTGGAGGATTCAATAAAGACTCCTGCAGTGGAAGAGGAGTGCCAGTCTGACTTGTCAGGTCTTCTTCTCAAAAGGCAAGAGAGCGGATGTAAGGAAACAGCCAACGCTAAGATAGAACTGGAGCTCACTCACCCCCTCCTTCAGTTCATCACTCCTTATTCTCAGCCATCCATTGCAACTTGTATCCAGGAGTTATTTTCCTCACCTTCACTCACTGAGCTCAATACCTCTTAGGCAGTAAGTTAGGAAAGCTGGAATATTTCAAATCCTCCACTTAGCCCAGCTTACCCCACAGGGTTGTTGTGAGGGGAACCATGGATGTCACCTTAAGCTTCTTGGGGTAAAGGTGAGATATAAATGTGCTCAAACAATTAATTAAGACAGGCTGTACAAGAAGGAATTTTCTCAGATGCAGCTTTACAACAACATCTGCCATATAAGCAACATCTGTCAAAAATCTCTTATTAATAATGAGGATTAAATATTAAAAGGGTCAGTCTAAGAAAACCTATAACTATATATTTATTAGATTTATAAGCCACTTTTCAAACAGTAAGACAATTCTAACTTCATCATACCTCCCACACCAAATCCCAACACTATGAACCAGGGTCACCTGCAGCCTGTGGGCCTAGCCAAGCCTGCTATGCCTTCCCATTTGGTCCTTGACATCATTTCAGCCAAGTCACATCCACCTGTGGCAGGTAAAGATGGGACTTGAAGCACAATTTTCAGCTCTAGAGCACTGGCGCATACCATTCTCTGACTGGACTCTAAATCTATGAATCTTCTTAAATTGGTAGGCCATGGCAGTTGTCCTCTAATGCCAATGGGTGGTTACATCAAATCCATCCCGAGCTTGACGGTAGCAAAGGTGCTGCTTTGGTCCATCTCTGGTTGCTTAGCTGTAATATTTAAAGGATCATCTAGTTCAGCATCCTGCTGCTCACAGTAGCCAACCAGTTGCCTTTTGAGAAGCCCACAAACCCTCAAGGCTGGGCCATGCACCAGGTTAGTGAAGGTTGGTCTACACTGACTGGCAGTTTTCCAGGGCTTCAGGTAATTTAGGCACTACATGGAGATGCCAGGAATTGGACCTGTTACCACCTGATACCTTCTACATGTAAAGCAGGCGCTCTACCACTGAGCCTTTCCTCCTATTTCAGTAATGCAACTCTCTCGCCTTTTATATTCTGCAAAGAGGGAGCATATGCACATTATTTTTTTACAAATTGGTGCCCTCTAACCCCCCTGCATACCAGCAGGAAATGATACTCCTGATCATGCCATCCACATCTTGGAATTGTGGCCTACAATGTTAAGCCTCCTGCCAGAGAGCCTCACCCCTTTCATTGTTCTACCCCTTCCTCACAAAAAATTAAGGAAAAGATCAGACAGATAGACAGCAGTTAGAACAATCAGAGAGAAAGTTGCAGCTGATGTCCAGAAAAAAAAAGCAGTTATGAAATGTTGCTGGCTAGAAAATGACTGTCTTCAGGAGGCTGTCAAAGGGAAAGAAGCACTTCAAGGGAATCCTTTAGGGAAAACGAGTCAGATCCCCAATAGCCCTACTTTATAGGAGGAAGCAAGAGGAGGAGCAGTGGGTACTGTATATATTATTGTTCTTGATATTATTATTTTAAAATTTATTTTACTCTTTTTTAATCAAATTTTTTATCACACCCTTTCTCATAAAGGAGCCCAGGGCATATATTGAATATATTATTTTAGTACTGTATGTTGTATTTCTGTTGTTTTTCATTCTAAGCAGCTTTGAGTGTTATTTTAATGGGAAAGTGTGGCATAAATATTGACGTTAACCTTATTTAATGCATCTCTGCATACACACCATAACACTTAAAGCACACGACCCCAACAAAGAATCATCAAAGCTGTGGTTTCTTAAGGGTGCTGGGAATTGTAGCTCCGGAAGGAGCAAACTACAGTTCTCAGAATTCTTTGGGGATGGGGAAATGCTTTAAAGGTGTGGTGTTTACTCAGTCAACATCTGTGCGAGATATATATCAAGAACAAAGTAAAAAAGTATTTCAAGACAATTGGGGAAATGTTCTTTGGAAGAAGCTATGGGATTCACTATTATGAAAGCCTCTTACATACAGCTGTAGCATCAATTAAACCTCTGCATGACCTAACCACTGTAACCTACCAAGCCCCAGCCTTTGAGGACGCTGTGCATCTTGGAACTGAGAAAATTAATACAAGAAATTAAGATAACCCCTTCACCTAACACCCTTTCACCCACACATCTTCTGATATTTGGGGAATTGCAGGAGTCCTGCGAAATCTTTTTCTGAGATAACAAAGGGTCACCTCTGAGCTTGGTTCTGCCAGAAGATGCCTTAAAGCTTTTATGGCCAGATTCAATATAGATATACAGAGATCCATTATCTTAAAAGCTGTGAGGAGGTCCAGCAAATATTTCCAGCCCTGAAACAGGTTTATTTCCATCTGCACTTATCTGTGCTATTTAAACTCCATTGCTTGCCGTTAATCTTTTGTAATGCAGCATAAGAGAGCTTATTTACTTTCTAATGACATCAATTGGCCATAAATATTAGACATCTAAGGTTGGCTGATGCTGGGAGACCCATTTTCCATTCCAGCTTGGCATTTGACTATTTGCAAAGCTGCCGTTCTGTTTGTTCTCGTGTGAGTCACTTATCGGCTGTCATAGGCCAGCGTTCAATTTATTTAAATTGAATGAATAAGTACATTAGGAGGAGCTGTCAGGAGAAGAGAGGGAACGAGGAGCACACTGGGATGAGTGATAAGTCAACATGCTGCAATGGAGATTCACTGAAGAAGTGCACAAATCAAAGCGCTAAAGAGAGCGGGTGGGAGATGTCCAGGGTGGGAGGAGGCTGGTTTGAGTGAAGCTATAGATCTCTGAGTAAAAAGACCCACTAACCGATCTATGGGCTACAAGCAACATTTGCCGTGGATGCTTCCAACTCTGACTGAAGGGAGTAAGCTGGGAGTGCTTTACTTGGCCCAAATATGGAGGATATTGTTGTAAGATTAAAGCTAAGATATTGGGGGGTAGGGATCTGCAAAATGTTTATATTAGAAGAAATACACACTGGGTACCATCAGACTGGGGTTTTATAGTGTGTGTATTCCAGGCATAGGCAAACTCCGGCCCTCCAGATGTTTGGGACTACAATTCCCATCATCCCTGACCACTGGTCCTGTTAGCTAGGGATGATGGGAATTGTAGTCTCAAACATCTGGAGGGTGGAGTTTGCCTGTGCCTGGTGTATTCATTCATTCAGCATGCTTTTATCACAGTAATAGTGCATTAGTGGTGGATTTATGCTGTGGTTTGTTCTGTGATGCTTCCCCAGTGCTACCATGTCATTCCTGCCTAGGAACAGAGGTTGGATAGCCATCTGTCTGTGATTCTTTAGCTGTGATTGCAGGGGGTTGAACTGAATGACCTTCCAAGTCTACAGTTCTGTGATTCTAAGGGGTGGTGAGGGACTCAATAAAAGCGGGCAAAAATAACCTGGAACATTTATAGTATAAGAAGTTACAGGGATTATGCAGGGAGTTTGATTATTTGTTTGTTAATTTTATATCCTACCCTTCCTCCCAAGGAAATCAGAGTGGCAAAATCAAGTAGCATCATCATCATCTTTACAACAGCTTTAAAGCAATTCCAATACAGATAAAGACTGGGAAAGTTCTCAACTTAAAAGGCTTGTTGTAAAAGGAAGGTCTTCAGTAGGTGCCACAAAGACATCAGAGATGGCACCTGTCCAATATGCAAGGGAGGGGGAATTACAAAGGGCAGGTTTTACAATGCTAAAGGTACGGTACCTGCATGGTGCAGAATGGATCGCCTGATAAAATGTACCTGCAGAATGCAGTGACCAGTTGCACATATAAGGGGCGAGATAATATTTCAAGTTATAGGACATGCACTTATTGGAAGTGAAGCAGTGTGGCCGCCCAAAATTTTAGCAGCTGCAAACAGGATTAAAAGCAGGGTCACATGTGACCACCCCAACAGTACAAATCATTGTGAATATTCAGCAAAAGGAATGACTGGGGGAGCCCACTGAAATGCTGGCAAATCTTCATAAGGACTTTCTAAACATCTAAATATACCCACAAACCAGTGTGGAGATAAGAAGTGAACTACTGTTTGCAATAATGAGAAACTGAGCGAAGCAAAAAATGTATTCAGACATTCCTGGTAAAGGTACATCAGGGTGTGGAGAACTCTGGAAGATGCTGGGTCACTGCAGTGATCTTAATGCCTCTTTGCACTGAAATGTTGAAAGTTTCACTGAATTTTGGGGAGGTTGGGGGGGGTAAAAATGTTTTAAATTGCCCGATAGTTTCTCACTGCCGTGGGGATTATAAAATGAATCAATTTTGTCCAGTTAGCTGCCTCTCAGAATTCCAACTAGTAAGTTCCAGGGTTTCACCTCTTCTGGGTGGGCCAGTTGCCTACCATTCTCAGCACATTTGATTTCTCACCTCTTCACCCTTTTGAAACCTTAATTGGGAGAGAACAGTAAAATTGGAGTAGACAGTGATTAAAAAGTGGCCACTTTTCGCCATTGTTTGTTTCAACACTCAAGTCTGTTCTCCCCTCTACCCCCATCCATAGGGGAAATAGGAGAAATTGTGGACCAACATCTCTCAGGGCTGTCATCCAGTAAGTAGAGCACCTGCGTTACACGCAGAAGATCCCACTTTCAATCCCTGGCATCTCCAGGTAGGAGGAGGGAACCCTGCCTGAATTCCTGGAGGTCCACTGCCAGTCAGTCTAGACAGTACTGAGCTAGATTGACCAATGTCTAACCTGTTATAAGACAGCTTCCTATATTTCTACTGGACTTCAGTTCCCATCATTTGCATCCAACATGACCAATGGTCAGGGATGATGGGGGCTTAGTTCAACAACATCTGGAGAGCTGCATGTTCCCCATCACTGCCATATGGCTTTGGGACAGATCTCTATTTTGCTTTGGTTTCTTCTTCATTTTTCAGGAAAGACCTCTTTGCTAATTTCGCTCATTATTTTCCTGCTGTCATTTTAAATCAGAAGCCTCTCAGTATTTACTGAACAAACTATTATGTGAGTAGTTTTGCTGCATCCTCAGGGGACATTTTGGTTTCTAATTTAGTATAACCTCTGTCCTCTTTCCCACAATGTGAGGATAGAATGAAGGAACTCCATAAACTCCTCAATCCTAATGAGAATCTTAACTGTTGGCTGGGTTTCGAGTGAGCAGGATATCTAGCCATAGTCTCATTCCTTTATTGTGGTGCGTATGCTCAAAGGATTTTGAATCAAGCAGGGTTTGCATTCACACATCCATGTTTATTTCTTTTAAATATTTTTATACCATTCTTAAGAAATGTCCCAAGGCAATTTACAACAGAGTAATCACACACACATGCCTGTATTCTTGCAGGAAATTGGTGAGTTAGAAAGCATGATGTAAAATTATGCACGGTGCAGCAAAAGAGAACAGGGAGAAGATTTTTCCCCTTCACCCATAATACTAGAATGGGGGACACAAAATGAAGTGAACATTTCAAGAAAGACAAAAGAAAGTAATTATTCACGGCTCATAGTTAAGCTAAGGATTTTGTTCCCACAAGACATAGTGACGGCCATCAACTTGGATGGCTTTAAAATGGGTTAAACCAAAGGATAAGGCTACAATGGCCAAGTATTACCTTCAGGAACAGAGCATATCTTTGGATACCAACTGCTGGGGAACCCAAGTGGGAGCGTAGTATTGCACTCAGCTCCAGTTTGTGGGTTTCCAGTAGAGATCTGGATGGCCACTATAAGAAAGAGAGTAACTGACTAGATAGACCAGGTGCAAACAAATAACAGGCACAGGAATAGGTTGGGTCCTGAAAACACACATTTCAAGAGTCAACGACTAGGGAAGAGAAATACATCATCAGCATTCCCCGAAAGCTGGATAGGGAAGGTGTCATACACACATCTGTGGGGAGGGAATTCAACAACTTAGGGGCTGCCACAAAGAAGGCTTTCTCCTGGGCCACCAACACCCTGAATTTCTGAGGGCAGTAGAATTGATCTTGAAGAGCAAGGGAATGGGTGGTGTGTTTTGTGTCCTCACATGGAGTAGAGAGGAAAACATTAA